CTAAAGAGACCCGTGCAGAATTGGAAGAGCTGATCTGGGACGCGGTTCCCCATCAACCCTATTCCCCTTACATTGCCTTCTCTGATTATCACTTACTCTATCCCCTTAAGGGATCCCTAGCGAAGAAAGAATTCACCAAAGGTAAAGAAGTTGGAAGAGCGGTCAGCGATTTCTTTGACTCTCAGTCTGCTCTGTTCTGGGAGAAGGAAGTCGCTGAACTGCACATTAGGTGGGACTCTGTAGTGGGTAGCAATGGTGATTATATTGTTGGGTAGATTCCATTCTACGTGGAATAAAAAAGCAAAGAACAAAAAAGTGTCAAACGGCTCAGGACTTTTTTACCACCCTAATATTTCTTTACGTATACTACGAGCCAAGCATTTCTATTACAAAGTAGGCCTTTTGCTAGAGCAATTCCGGATTGAGAAGCAGAAAGAAAATTGCGAGCGATTTTCGACCTCTCTGCCTTAGGGAAAGGAGAGGATACGACCCTGTCAAAAGCCAACTCCTGACCACTAGTTCACCATCATCGGCCTTCGCATGCTAACAAGGGAGGGCAAGGTGCGCTTTTTGGAAACGGTTTAGTACATGTTGTAGGGACGCATGTATGGACCACAAAACCATGTTTCGTTTTCGCTGAACGGTTTTAGTAGTACCAAAAAAGTGGTGAATAATACTCTTGATGGTTCAATCCCCCGCGGCGACTAAATTTTGCAATCAAGGTTGGCGGCCACTTGTTGGCTTCAAAATGGTCCTGACGATGAATTTGACATCTGATTTTGATATTTAGCGCGATTTGGCACCAAACCGTAGGCGCCAACCCAAATCGCAACGGGGGATCGAACCCTTAACAGTACCTTATGCTTTCTTTTTTGGTACTGCTATAACCGTTCAGCGAAAATGAAACATGGTTTTGCGTTCCCTACATGCGTCCCTACAATATGCACAAAACCGTTTTGAAAAAGCGCACCTTGCCCTGAAAGACCTCCCTTGTTAGGGCGTGAGATCGCGGCGAAAAGGAGACTTTGTTATCAGGTAGCCGGGACGACTTCGGAAGGTGTGGAGGGAGTGAGAGATGCCAGCGTCGGCCAACATTTCCTTGACATGTGACTCATTCTGGTCCATAGCAGAAGCAATTCTTTCCTACAAAGGCGAGAAAACAACTCCGTAGAATCAAGCTTCCACTTCGACGGATGCTCGGTCAGTTTGCCATCAGCCATCAATTTGAAATTTGAATTGGAGCCGCCTGATTCATGTAGCGGCATAACACTCAGTTAACAGCAGTCGTGATGCCGTACACGCCTCGAAGAAGCGACCTTGCTGATCAACGGCAAGAACTGGCTACAGATAAGGTGATCACGATCTTTACTTCGTCGCAGAAATCTCGTATTCTTATTTTTTGATTTGCAACACGCATAGAACCATTTACGAAGAGCTTATCTACTAGCTAACCGAAACTCCGGAAAAGCCGGAACAGCGAAAGTAAGCCAGTTTATCGCGCTACGCTGCGGTTATTAACAATGAACATCTTGCAGGAGCTAAACCATAACGCAGTATAAGAAGCGAGAAATGTTGGCCAGAAATGAAGGATAACCTTCACGCAATCTCCTTTGTGGGTTTTGGACATTATTGCCCCCTCCATGCCATTTAGGGCAACCAGATCAGCGTAGATCCAAATACGAAGCAATGCGTTCACAGAAGTTAAGTTTTACCATTTTCAAGTTTTTCAACCGTCAAATGCTCTTCTTGTGGACCTATTCTCTATCTCGAAGAAACTATGTAGAATGGGAGTGTAGCAGAGACAAAAAGTCAAAGAGTTGGTGACGAGGGCCGAAAATGGCGATTACGCCGATTGGGCACTATCTTCATCAACGACAAAATTCCTTACATGAGGTTTTGAGGAAGTCAGTGAAAGTGAAAGGAATGCTCGCTAAGCAGCAGCTGAACTTTCCCAAACACACAAGGGTTGCACTTCGCCGCACGAATTTTCTAGCCACAGCAATGCGACCCAAACAGGATGCACTGCGCAGAAATCAACTGAGGCTCGCTCATGAACGATCTTTTCTCCCGTCTCAACGCGCAGTATGTCTTCGCTGTCTGCTCTTTAGAATCCCACATAGCCTAGAGAAAAGGACTTCTCACTTTTAGTGTTTTTTATTGTCTTTCGCGTTGTTCCATTTTTTCACCATCTTGCAGCGGCAGCTCTATCATTTTTGGGTGGTGAAATATGTAATATACATTTGATCTCGTTATGTTCCCTCTCCGAATCTGTTCAAAGTTGCTTTGGATCACCCCCTTACGATTGGTTGAGTAGAACCCAAAGCTGTAGGGGCCATCATAATTCCGAATTGCTCAATTTTAAAGAAGGTATTTGAAAGGGAAAAGGGATGGTCTTGCCGCAAATGCTTGCTTCTCAGTCGAGATTGTGCTCCAAGGAAGAATATGCAGCATTAAAGGAATGCCCACCTTCTTCATGCCCCTCAATATATGCCGACTTCACGATTCAGCAGAAAACACTCGAAGATGGGCAGTGCTTAGAGGAGCTTTCGCTATGACTCATGCTGAAATTAAAGGAACGTTACAAACAATGCTGCATTCTGAACACTCAAACGATTAACTTATTTTGGAAGCGATTGTAGTTTTGAAAAAAGTGATTCGTTCTGGTTTTGCAAGTGTAATTAAGTGACGCAAGACTCCTAGACTGTGGCTCTGACTCTTAGACTGTCCCATTCTTGAATTTCGGAAGGTTTCTGTTGTCGCAAGTGGTTTCAATCAAGATATTGTTTTATAAATCAGACGGGACAGAAAAACTTGCAAAAATGGATCTCATTGCTTTGAACACAATTCTGCAGTGCATTCCGCAATTTCATAACAACAAGGAGATCACGTTTTTATTTATTGTCTGAGCCTTGGGCGAAATTGTGCGAGGCGAGGGTGGAGGGTGTTCCAGAAGGTTAAAGGGCAGTGGAATAAGTAAGTAGGGATCGAAATGGATCAACGACCAAAGCAGGCGATTGTGCAGTTTGTGATTCCATGCACGTATCCCTATGTCATGCAGAAAAACTGTTTAGAGAAAGCTGGGCATTTTCTGAAAGACCTACCTTTTAAGGTAGAGCGAGGTGCTATGGGAGAGTAATGCTTTTGCTTGCAGTTTGTTCGGACAACTAGATTTGAAAGCTTTCATGCCGACTTACTTCAGTCAGATAGAACAATGGCTACTTGTTGGAGAGAACCAAGCTGCCTTCCTAAAACCCCCTAGTTGCCGAATGCACTCTTGTTATGCAAAAGTTCAAGCGATGGACGACAGAACTTCTGGAATCTGCCAGTAAGAGGCGAAAAGAACAACGTGATACCCTTCTGTTGCAGAAACCTGATTTTACTGATAGTGACCGTGAACTGAACAATGATCAGGCTTCGCTGATTTATCACCCAGCCTGTAAATCAGCAGTGATGTAATCGACAAGCGGTTTTCTCATCAGAATTATTACATTGAAGGTGACATGGCGAGACCTAGTGAAACAAGTCTCATCAATCAGTTGAAAATAAAGAAAGGCCAGCGAGAGAAAGAAAGTGTTGTGGTGAACTGCGCTGTGCCGCTGTTGTAATCCGCCAAACCGCGACCGCTTCCCCCCTATAATGGAAACATTCCCGAATTGAGACGCACTTCTAACCGACGTCGTCATGACCTCCTTAGTGGTCTTTTTGCTTATTTTTCAACTCGGAATTGTTGTCGCACGTGAGTTTGCTACTGATTATTTTTCCGTGCTTTTGAATTATTTTCACATAACGTTTTGATCTGAAGTCGTGCGTCGAAGAACCTTCAAACTTCATTGGCTTGCTAGAATCTCAAAAAAAACTACATGCGAAGCCCTTTGTATATTTCTGGAGCACTCATCCTGCAAGGACCATCGGTATTACAAAATGTAGTAAATAGTTCCAACAATTTTAATGACAGGCTTTAACTCCTCTTTTCTTGGAAATACTTATTTGCTGCTGTGTTTTCATAGGTGATTTGATTTATTCTCGCCAATATTTCATTCCGTTTTCTAAGGCCTGAACTAGAAAGCGGCACTAAGAACACCTAAATCTTCAAAGTGCTCTCTATCGCAAGAAATGAGGGTCCAAGACCAAGCTTTTCTTTGATTGTGTGAAGGGTTACCTGAAATACTCATTGAGCCCTTCATACAGCTTTGGAAAATTGACACTCGCCTTTTTAGAGCTGAACATAATGTACTTTTTTCAGAAGCCCATCTGCTTTTCCCCATTGAAGTTTCCTAGAAAGGAAAAGAGTAAATTAGTTCCCTGTTAAAATGTATTTCCTGACTGACTTTCATGGGGACAGGATTGTGTTCTCCTTCTTTTCACCTGCCCTTAGCGCTTGCCTTTACAGTTGGGGCTGGGGAAGGAGGATGGGGCAGAAATCGTATAACTTCGTATAATGTATGCTATACGAAGTTATTCGTAAGCAAAGTTTGCCGCCCGTTGAAGGATATTGCCTCGAATAGCCCCTGTATGAGCTCGCTAACAGCCTCCTCTTGCCATCACCGTCTCCCGAATATGATATCATCTCCACGTGTCAACGCCCAAGAATGGAAGTATCGCGACTTCGCTCTGTTCTTTTCATGTTTGGTAGTGAAACATGATCTCATTATTGAAGTGGAGTATGTAAGTTATTGTAAATTCGACCATCGACCCCACATCGAGCCCCGCTCCGCCAGAGCATCGTTCTTGATGGCGCATTGGATTTTTCGAAAAAAGGACGCTACACATTTTAACAGAATTGTTTTGTCGTTCCACAAATCTCTTTTCACGTCGCGACAATCTTGTGGAACAGTGAAGCTCTGGTGTGAAATTGCTACATATTTCGGAAGCCTTGTAGGAAGAGCTGTCTTTCATGCATCGGTGAACCCTGCTTCTATATCGACATGTCCGAGGTAGTTCTTAGTTCGAGGAATCCGTCGCGGCAGAATTTGCTCTAATGACCTTCTGCGTCTTTTAAAATGTTGACGAGATGCTCGAGTGATCGGCTTGCCAAGCCAGGCTCAAACGCACCTTGGGCGAACCACGTACTAGAGGGCAAGGCACCGCTGTTTTTCCGCGGTATGGGTGTCAAGCACTGCAACTTTGAGATCTTCCTTTATCGCCTCTTGGCATGGCTATATGTATACAACAAGCGCGGGCGAGTTTGGAATTGCCTGTGCTCGTCACGGCTCCCATCAGCCGTTTCAAAGTTCAGTGTCCCGACGGTTTTCGAAGCAAAAGCTGCCTCAGTGACTTCCGAAATTCTTCTGTGCTTCGAGCGCCATCAATAAGAGATGTTCAGCGAATCAACGGTAATCTCGTGACGGTTTCCGTAAGCAAATCCTTCCACCGCTAGAGGCAAGGTGGGAAGTGGTCGAAGGTGCAACGTTTCTCAAAGTCAGATGTGGACAACATGCGCTTTCAAATAGATATGTAAGATAATGGAACAAAGAAGGTCAAATGACGTACTATATGAGTATTGATCACGTCTGTTTACCTTTTACATTTTTGATTCGAAATGAAATTTAAGTTCTCCATGATGCTACGCCTGTGGACAACCTGCGCTGTATAACCAGTGCCAGTGCCCGACGTTCTGCAGGTGCGTTTCAAATAGTTTTGAGACCCCTAAATGGCTGCGATCAAACTTGCGACTCCAGAGCAGGGTCAACCCTATCGTTGCTACTTTTTGGAATTTTTTACGACCCCTCCCCCCACCCCTTCATGGACACTTTGATACCACCACTCCCTCTGATCCAGAAAAATCTTACGAAAACGCAACGTGCTGGCTATTATCGCGAATATTACGGATATTACCAAGACTCCCACTGCCGGCCACCGAAACAGTACGACCCCCTAAAACCTAAACCAAGTATGACCCCCCGTTGGTACTTGTGCCAGCATAGGGTTGACCCTGTTTCAGAGCCGTCTTATCTCCCTTCTCATTCGCATGATATAACACAGGACCAAAAGCTTTTTGAGCTTCATACAGACAGTGTAAGAGATATCCCCCCGGCGTATAATGCTAACCTCAGCACCAAAGTGGCCCTAGTGCAAATATCTCAGCAGTGTATTTGTTCTTTGATGGACAGAAGTGGTAGAGTAGCAAGTGAGTGCACTACTTTAGCAAGCGTACGATCCGAAAGCATATTCTAGGTGGAACCAAGTGTCTAAGCACTGTAGTCGATACCCGGGAGATGAAAGGCTCGGTTCTCCTGTACGGCGTTCGATCTAGAACATGATCCCGGATCGACAGCATACAGGACAACCAAGCCTTTCACCACCCCCCCCCCCTCCCTTGAGTAGGTTATTTGTTGTCAGACTCATTGAGAGGTTGAAGAGATTGACCCGCTTATTGGATAGCCCACTCAAGTTTTGCATAACCCAAATAGCATTCAAATGCCACTCACGATTCTCAGGGAAATGGAGTGCGTGGCGCACCCCGAAGGGGAAAATGTCAGCATCGAGTGGTACTGCCCTCTATAATGGATCGGTGTGCGCACAATCGATACCCAATATTTGTCACTTAGTGGTGCCATAGAGGAGTTCCTTATAAATAGGTAAAATGTACTCTTGGCAATAATTCCACCAAAGAGCAAAATACTGAATAGCAATATGAAGACAACATCGGCTATTGTTTGAACATTACACTGGCATTTGTTTTCCATTAATTTCAATGCGATGTGCGGTAAATCTTAGATCTCCACAGGCACTCTACGGTATTTTCGTTATAGGGAGCAGTTTCCCTACTGTCCTCAAAAATTCAGCAGAAATACTTCAAAATAGATATAGCAGATAGAAATTATAGTGCGTACACCGGAACGAACGGTGGGTATGGAGGTTACGGAGGCTACAACGGCTACAACGGCGGCAGAAGTTTCTTCCGCACTCGCTACAGACCTCATCGACGAAAGGAACATAGAAAAAGAAGTTTCGTTTTGAAACCCTGGAAACGCTGGAAGAATCCGGTACAAATTGCATATAAGTCTATGTAAAATCTAACAAAAATCTTGGTCATAAGTGAGTTTTTTGCAGAGGAATTCCCGGAGCCGCCGTCGACGACTCCAAAATCAGAGAATCATGCCCATACATGGGAAGACGAGGTTAGTCGCAGAGTTCACTGGCCTGGGTCAAATTGCCTTCTTCATGCTTTGTTATGACGAAGGAAGAGCGAGTCTAGAGTATTAATTTAAGCTGATTTCAGGACCTGTGGGAGAAGAAGTTTGTGAGTCCAAAATCGGAGGAGAACGGAGGAACTTCTGAAGAGTTTCCAGAAATAAGCAGTGCAGAAGTGAGCTCAAAGACGCCCATTCAAAAAAATTATTGATTCCTCAATAAGCTTTTAATCATTATATGGCTATAGAAATGGTATGTTATTAAGAAAAACGGAAGTGGTATAGTGTAGTGGCATGCTACCATCGATTCGAGCGTCCGGGATCAAATCCTGGATCGTGAGTCGCTCGGGTCAACCAAGCCTTCCATCCCTCCGGGGTCGGTTAATTGGTACCAGAACCTTGTCTGGGAGGATAAAAAACACTGACTTGTACATCGGCTGGCCCCCCGCAAGTCATTGTATGCCACAGACACACGCACGGCAATGTAACGACGATATACACTGCGTCCCATAATTATAACTCCACCCAAGAATTTCCCAAAATCTCACAAATTTAGATGTTTTAGAAAAAGTCTCTAATGTGGCAGTGTGTCAAATACAAATACGAAATTCCTTATAAGCATCATCTTCCAACTTGAGATCCCAGGAATTTTTTCTAATAATTTTTGTTCAAAAGGCCACTTGGCCAGGTCATCGCAAAAACTACCAATTAGGCAATCGCACAAGATTTTGACCAAATTCACGAGGAGCTCGAGAATTTTTTCAGGGATTTTACATGATATGGAGTTGAGAAGAGCTCCAAAGGATCTCCCCTTGCTTTTCGGTAGAAACAAAGGCCGTGTCACAGAAGAAACATCCTTTTTTATGAAGCCGTGCTCTGCCATCAAATCTTCTTCGGAACTTAATGGCTCAACGGAACAATGTTTTTGCTTGCGAATAAGTCCCAAGTTGATTCTCGAGTGGAAAACGTGGAAGGCATCATCTGTGGCAGGAAACCATGGCGAAAATTGAGCCCATTTTCACAGAAAGATGCAACGGAGCCGACTGGAGTAAGGTTCGCTTTTGCTCGATATGTTTTAGCATTTGTTTGTTTTTCTTTTCGTGCTTTTCTCATCCTTAGTAGCTTTTCTCTTCGCGAAGCACTACCAGGAGAAAGAAAATGCCGAAGAGAAAGACAGACAATCAGTAATGAATCGCAAGTAAGAGCGAACCTTACTACAGTCGGCTCGGATGCACCTTTCCGGAAAACTCAGCAAGAATTCCGCCATGGTTTCTTACCACAGATGATGCCTTCCACGTTTTCCACTCGAGAATCAACTTGGGACTTATTCGCAAGCAAAAAACATTGTTCCGTTGAGCCATTCCGAAGAAGATTTGATGGCAGAGCACGGCTTCATAAAAAAGGATGTTTCTTCTGTGACACGGCCTTTGTTTCTACCGAAAAGCAAGGGGAGATCCTTTGGAGCTCTTCTCAACTCCATATCATGTAAAATCCCTGAAAAAATTCTCGAGCTCCTCGTAAATTTGGTCAAAATCTTGTGCGATTGCCTAATTAGTAGTTTTTGCGACGACCTGACCTTTTAAAAAGTCAGACAGCATTTTCTATCATACTGTCCCCTTGAGAAGTAGGATGTTAGCACATTAAAAAAGTTTGGCGAAACGGAAGTGAAAAATAATAGAAAAACATGAGGTGGAGTTATAATTTTGGGACGTTGGCCAAGTGGCCTTTGAACAAAAATTATTAGAAAAAATTCCTGGGATCTCAAGTTGGAAGATGATGCTTATAAGGATTTCGTATTTGTATTTGACACACTGCCACATTAGAGACTTTTTCTAAAACATCTAAATTTGTGAGATTTTGGGAAATTCTTGGGTGGAGTTATAATTATGGGACGCAGTGTAGACTTCGTACCTAACTT